TGTAAATTTTTATTGGTTAGTTAATATGATTCAAGTTAGAGTTTAACAGAAAACAGTAGCATAAACCTTGTTGGTGTAATTTAACCAAACTGGGGAACTACTTGTAAACTTAAAATGATTAATACTCGTGATGCATTTTAAACATCATCCATGTAATTCAAATATTAACTACATGTTTATAGTTCATAGGCAGTATATGATAATGTTATATAATGCAACACTTATCAGGAACATATGATGAAGTGGAGCATTAACATATTATTCATCAGTCAGCACATAAGAGGAAAACAGCAAAACCCATTCTGTAATTCTACATTCTGAGTGCAAGATACTATATATCGTCGAGTTTATGATAGTACTTTGAAAATCAAAGAGAAAAATGGGAGGAGAGGGAGGGAGGGAGGGAGGGACTTCTCACTGGGTAACAAATTTTATTTCTTATCATTTTGTCTTTTACACTATATGCTTTGATAGTATTCTATACGTTCAGCTGACAGGGATAGTGCAGAGAAGAGAGGCAATCCTTTACCTGGCTACCTGCGATGGCCACATATGCAGGCTGATCAGGTTCGTGGACTCCGTTTGAGGGAAATAGGAGGTGGTTTTAACAAACACCACCGTGCTCCTTCCGTTCATGCAGCTTGTTATGCCGTTGCTAAGCCATCGACACTGGTGCAAAAGATGCAAGTCATTAAGAAAATGAGGGGACATCAAAATGCTGTCTACTGTGGTATCACTCATATATTCTATCAATTCTTTCTTGGAACCTATAATATTTTTTCAGCTTATAATTGTTTTTATCTCTGCAAGAATAAGACAAATGTCTTTCAAATGTCGTTCTTTTAAGCTGCATTTTTTTAGTTGACAATGCATGTGTAATATATGGTTTACTATTTGTTCATGAAAGCATATTGTTTTGCTAATTGGTTGGACAAATTGAGATGAGGATATCTAGGATCCTTAAGAGCTTTACTATTCATTGTCATTCTCTCGTGACTTCTATAAGTACCTGTAATCTGGTTATACTTCCTCAGATCATACTTTTGAAAGAAATCTTTTGATTTATAAAGCTGAAATGCAAACTGCTTGCATAAATATCTGCTTCAACTTATAAAAATAATGTTCACAACACTGTTACTGAATTTTCTGCTTTAGTGGCTAACATCACTCTGATAACAAACTCTTCAGATACCAGATGGACTTCTCTTTGCGTTGCCTCAGACTTAGCATTGAGTTTGTTACTGTTATATTTCTTTTGCAAGATGGCTTCTGTGTTCAGTCATGGGTGCTTTATCATATTTGCTCTTGTTTTGAACATGTTCCTTTTCTTCTGGAATTAGTTGCAGAATTCATTTTCTAAAGCTAACTCACCCAAAGATGAATCTTGTCTATGCTCTTTTAGTAATTTAGTTACCAAACGTAACGAGTATGTATCTAGGATGCAGTTTCAACTTTTAATTCCGCGTGTGTGCATACACACAAAGGAGACATGCTTGAAGGTGGATTCGGTCGAGTATCAGTGTTATGTTGTTTTCATGTGACAATAGATAGTTAGAACTTAACAGAATCATTTGTAAGGAAACACAACTTAATTCTATGTTGATATAGTCAGTTTTAAAATGCCATGCTGCTCATGGGATTTACATCTCAGCTGTCCCCACCACTGCTTTATTCTTTATCATCATTATATATTCTTCTGTCGATGGTTGCTACCTATTCTGGCACTTTTTTACAGGTTTGTGAAGTAGCTTTCTGTTAGATTTGTATGGATGCAAATGATGTTCACATAAGTATGAACGTAAACTTGGACAGGTCAAACAAGAGAACAATTGAGTGATTTTAGGAAGGGGCTTGTGGCAGCGTTCAAGAAGTGCAAATGTGAAATGTTGCACTTGCACATGATAGAAATGATTATGGAACGACGATTTATGAACAAAATACTTCTAATATTTATATATGTTATTGATATCTGCACTCTTAACCTGACCATAATGTCTTACAATTCAGCTTGTGGTTTTACTGTTTACTTTTTCTTTACGTGTTTTCTTGTACTTTCTTTGTTTTCAGAATCATTGTATATGTTCTTCAAAGGTATATATTTATGATTTTGAATTGTTCTTTTCTTCAGCCATATTTGATCGTTCTGGACAGTATGTGATCACTGGTTCAGATGATCGCCTTGTTAAAATATGGTCAATGGAAACCGCATTTTGCTTGGCTAGCTGCCGGGGGCATGAAGTGAGTCTGGATTGTTTTTTTTTTTTTTTTTTTTCTCTGACCTGTTTTTCCCCTCTGCTCTTCCTTTTCTTGTTTGTAAAACTGTTTTTTCTTGATGTGTTTGAAGGGTGATATCACTGATTTGGCTGTGAGTTGTAATAATGCTTTGGTGGCATCTTCTTCCAATGACTTTATCATTAGAGTTGTAAGTCCATTGGCTTTCTTTATGCATATTACTGATGCTATCATCAGAAACATCTTCTGCTTTTATGCTGTTGTGTAAATTTTGGCCTTCTTATGTAGTGGCGCTTGCCTGACGGACTCCCAATTTCAGTTCTGAGGGGACACACTGGAAGTGTGACTGCTATTGCCTTTAGTCCACGCTCGGTGTATCAGCTTTTGTCGTGAGTGCTTCTCCTAATATTCTAACTCTGAAGGGTTATTTGATCAAAATGGATTAGCTAAATTTGGCTGTTAATTTTATTATGTCCATATTAGGTACAATAACCTCAACCAAATGGCCTTTTGAAATTCTTGATGAGACAAATCCATCGTCTTGTTTGTGTCTAACGTTTACATGGTTTCATTTTCCATAAGCCAAAATAAACAAGTCCTTCATGTTCCCTATAGTGCTATCAGTTCAATATCATCATCTCTGTGGTATGGTTTTCTGTTATAGGAGACCTTTTATTTCATTGCTTGTTTATATGTTCACATGCTTTTTGCTGGCATTTGTAACACTTAATTATGCTTTTGTGATAGATATCTTATTAGCTCTGGAACTACTCGACTTGATATTACTAAATAGTACTACTGTAACCTATTATCAACAAAACAACTTCAATATTTTCATATAGTAGAAATCGGAATATAATTGTAAATGATCATACTTCAGCCTGGGGATTGCTCAAATTTCTCTGTAGGCCTGCATTGTGATAAAGGACAATGATATTGTTGAAAGTTTGGTACTGTTGGCCGTAACTATTATTTTCAAGTCTTACCTCATATTGTAAAAATATGTAGAACTTTGTAGCAAAATCAACTATGATATTCTGTAAAGTATGCTTCATTTTGAGGTGTTATATTGATTCAAATACTGCATATGATGCTCAGATCATCTGATGATGGAACCTGTCGCATATGGGATGCTAGGCACTCGCAGCTAAGCCCACGAATATATGTCCCAAAGCCTGCAGATGCTTTAGCTGGTTAGTTTAGCAATTTAATTGATTAATTGGCACCATCGGATGAGAACTTGCATTGGTAAAAGTAAAACTCATTGCAGGAAAGAGTTCTGATCCTTCATCAAGTGTTGGTCAACAAAATCATCAGATATTGTGTTGTGCTTACAATGCTAATGGAACTGTATTTGTTACTGGTAGCTCAGATACATATGCAAGGGTATATCAATATGGTTTACTTTTTCAAGTAGCACATATACACATTTATCCTGATATAGAAGATGAATTTTGACACTTTCCAGTGCCCCCATACTTCATTAACAAGCTACTTACTTTCAGGTTTGGAATGCTTGTAAAAGCAACCCGGAAGACTCTGAACAACCAAATCATGAGATGGATCTCCTATCCGGCCATGAAAATGATGTTAACTATGCACAATTCAGGTTAGCTGGCTGCCTTTATAAAGTGCTTATCTACATATTATATACGCATCTTAATACTGGTGGCTTTTTGACTCAGTGGCTGTCCGGTGGCATCTAGAACTTCTACAGCTGATTCTTTTAAGGAGGATAATGTTCCAAAGTTTAAAAACTCCTGGTTTGTACTAAGTCTGTTGCTCATTCTGTAATTTGAATTTAGTTTATTCTTGTATTTGAATAACATGCAAGTAGAATAACTATTGTCAACTAGCCCTTATCAAAGTTGTCTGTCAGATTGATGCATACTGACCCACATTTTTTCAGGTTCACTCATGACAACATAGTTACATGTTCTCGCGATGGAAGTGCTATTATTTGGATTCCAAAATCACGCAGATCCCATGTGAGCTCTTCCTTTCCTTTTTTCATCTTTCTTTGTAAAACTTCTTGTCTTTTCATGGTTATCCTTGTTAGATGAATCAAAATGTTTTTTTATCATCTCGTTTGAGATTGGTGGGCTTGAAATCCTTGGGAGGATTGTCTTTGTGGGTTGAACTTATGTGCTGAATGCCATTATGTGTTTCTGGAAGTGTCTGGTTATTGGAAACTTGATGACTGTATGATCTATCACAAAACTGTAGTCACCTAATCATTAATTTTGATCTTTACTATTGTGTTAAGCAGAAGTCAGAACATGCCTTAGAATATGAAGGAATTAGTCTAACTGATAGCCAAAAAAATTGCAACTATGGATAATCTCATATCTGTTATTGCATGCGGATTCATGGTCGGACTTATGGTAACCTCTGTATTAGTTTCTTATAAATATGTGGTATTGAGTCCTGTTTATGTCTAAACACATGTGGTAGTGCGAACATGCTTTAGAACTATGTAGGAATAAGTATAATGGACAGGCAAAATTTTGCAATTATGGATGTTTATAAATCTCTTTTTGTAATGTGATTCATGTAATGTGATGCATGGATTGGACTTCTGATAGGTTCCATATGAGTTTCTTATAATATGTGGTATTGACACCTGTTGGATGTGTACAGCAGTTCTTATTGCATATTGGTATTAACAGTTTATTCTTTTGTCCGCTTTTACATCACCAAAGCTTTGGTCACCAAACCAACTTTTAGCTATTATCTTGTGTATTGGCATTGATAAAAGAATTTCTGTTGAAGCATCTCTAGAGAAAGATCTGCTTCCAAAGTGCCTGGACATGGAGGGGGAGGAAACTGTTAAAACAATTGTTTTTGGACACTTCTCATTTAATCGCTTCAGTTGCCATATTAATGATGCATCTTACTACGATTTCACATAATTTCTTTGGAGTTTCTCTTATTAGATTTTGGTTTATGTCAGGGAAAAGTTGGGCGCTGGACACGTGCTTATCATCTTAAGGTTCCTCCACCTCCAATGCCTCCGCAGCCTGCTCGTGGAGGTCCACGGCAAAGATTTCAGCCCACTCCTCGTGGTGTTAATATGATTGTTTGGAGCTTGGATAATCGTTTTGTGCTTGCTGCTATCATGGGTAAAGTGTCTTATTGTCTGATTTGTATTTCTTCCTTTTCAGCTGGAAAATGTCTTGGGTAATTTTAATTCCCTTAAATAAAATTTCATATATGTTACTGAGAAAACTTTCAAGATCTCTTTTTTTGTGAAAGATTCATTTAGTATGATCTCTGTACTGGCATACTAATTGATTATTTAACATCAAGTATCAGCTTGTGTAGTTGATGACATTATTTGATTGAAGAATGAGGATTCTAGTTATTCCATTAGTTTGAGTAACTCCAATGTCATCTGCTTCATTACGTGTGTCGCATGGGGGAAATTTTATAGGTTGACAGTGGCACAGAGATTGCTACATTGATAGTTAGTGATACTGTGATAGTTGTGTTAAGCTGGCAATTTGTTCACTAAGTTGGACATTTATTTCATTCCTTCGCTGCTGAATTTAGTTCATAAGGATTGCAGTGCTATAGGAGTGGTTAAAAAGTCAGTTTAATGCTACCCATAACCATAAATCCAGAAGTCAGTTCATAAGGATCATAGTGTAATACTGCCTAAACTCAAAAGCTATTATATAAAGGGCTCATATTTGGTAATACAAGGCTGCCTTTTCTTTTTAACATATATGCAGGTGAGTTGACCAGTGTAAACCATTTAGTTGTCTGGTAAGGTCTGTTTGAGTTTGGCTACACTTTTTGGCTGTTATTCGTTGAAAAATGTATGTACTGGCCGACAGGTGAGTTCCAATTGGTGTCCGCTGGAGACAGAACTCTCTCATGCTTCTCTAGCCAAAAACACCTTAAAATACATCCAAACAGGCGGAATTACTAACAAAAACGTGCACACGTGTGTGGGTGTGTGGTGAGTGAAAGAGAGCAAAAGAGGAAAGAAGTGCTATGTGTGTTACTGTCAAGCCCCGAAAAATGTACATACTGGTTGATGAGAGATTCACAACCAGTGGCCGGTTTGCGAAGAGAACTCTACTCCTGCCTTTAACCAGCAACAGTTTAAACCATCTTCACACTTAGACAAACACAAACTAACAAAAAAATTGCGACAAGACACTAACAAAAATGTGAATGTGCGTCATGTGTAGGAGAGGGGGAAGGAGTGATATAGCGTCAAATGATAGCAATTTTGCTTCTTTGCTCTGCACAATATGTTACAGTATCAACAACTTGGAGATATCTTACTTGATGCTTCGATTTATTTGAAAAATTAATGATGTTCTAAACATTTGAACGGGTTTTGACTTCTTGATTCCTGATTTGCAATTCTGCAAATTCTCTAAGTTTTTGTTTTCCATCTATGGTCATTTTAGATCATGGAGACGATCCTGAATCGTCACATCATTCATTGGACTGAATCACCAGTTTCTGAATCATCGTGACATTAAACATCCTTCTATGCTTGTAGACGGCCATAGAAAACAAAGGGCCATGCTGTAGGTGGGATGTATTCTGGTGGACTTCTCATAGTAAACTAATAGTGTTTCCTCTGTCTGGCCTCATCCCTCGTTTATGATGTTAAAGCATTGATCCCTTGTTGCATCTGACATGAATAACGAGCTTAGCTTTTCCTACTGGTAAAGTGGCATTCTAGAAGTTATTATGTATGGTCTTGCCTCTTGTCCACAATTTCCTTGGCTACGAATCGGTACCAATCTATAAGTATTTAGCTCCTGCAGTAAATTTCTCCCATGGAGCATTTTGATTGGAAAAGGTTTAGATGGGGATGAAAGAAAAACCATCATGCTTTCTAGTTTTTAATATAGAGGTTTGACAGTTCCACCCGTCTTACACCTGAACATATATACAGAACCTGAAGTATCCCAAAGGTTCAGGTTCTGGTTGAGTTTTGCTTATGTGACTCAGGTTGCCACCTTAGTTTCTATTGTTTAGGCTGTTAATCAGGTAATCCTACTTAGGACATATGTTCATCTATTTAGTTCGGGCTATCTCTATAACCTTTTTTTTATTTGTCTTTTTGTCATCGTCGTATCACTTCCTATTAGTTGTTACCTTTCAGTACTGCCCTTCAATTAAAGTTTTTCACATATGCAGTTCAAATTAGGTGGGCTGTAAATATTTTGTTTTAAATTGTTAATTTAATTTTGTTTCTGTAGATTGCAGAATATGTGTTTGGAATGCTTCTGATGGGAGCTTAGTCCATTCATTGGTTGGTCATAGTGAATCCGTAAGTCTTTCAGTATTATTGTTTAACTTGTAGTTTATGGTAAAGCGAATTTTTTGGTTTTTGCCATTGAATTACTTCCATGCGGTACATAAGAATAAGCTGAACATGTTTTTGATTTAATGTTACAGACATTTGTTTTGGATGTCCATCCTTTCAACCCTCGTATAGCTATGAGTGCGGGATACGATGGAAAAACTATCATATGGGATGTGAGTTTCTGGCAATGTCATCATTTAAACACTGTGATTTCCTGCTTTTCTGTGTATGCAAATAATGCTTAGTTATTTGGTATTACTAGATATGGGAGGGCACACCTGTACGAATATATGAAACTGGACGGTTCAAGTTGGTTGATGGGAAGTTCTCACCGTAAGTTGGTTGCCAATAGTGTTCTATTTCATTGTCTTTTACTCTTAAAGAAACTTTTCCTTTATTGCTTGGATTTTCTTATTAATTAGAGTGACCTATCATTGATTCAATTCTTAGTCAAATGGAATATTATGAGATGCAATCGATTAGCTTATCTTGAGAGTACTTGTATCATATAATTCCAGGTTATAATTGACTTAGTCTATATGATTTATAATTTAGGGATGGAACATCAATTGTTCTTTCCGATGAAGTTGGACATATGTTTATAATAGCCACTGGACAAGGAGAGTCCCAGAAGGATGCAAAATTTGATCAGGTATGCATGAATTAGTGGCCCAAACTGTACAAGGCGGTACTGCAACTCTTTACTGAAGTATTCCTTCTTTTCTTAATCTTGACAGTTTTTTCTTGGCGACTATCGACCCCTTATCCAAGATACCAATGGAAATGTTGTGGATCAGGTCTGTTGTTACACATTTCATTTCCATTTTTTTCTTAATCAGCGATTTTGTATATATGGTGACTTTGTTTTCATCATATATGGGTGCAAATATCATTTTTTCGTGTTCTTTCAGATACTAGAATTGGGGGAATTGTAACTTATATGTCTTCTTAGTTGCTACCTTTCTATTTTATCTGCTGTAACTGTTAGTGCCAATTGATGTAATTCCATACTTCCACCTGAAGCAGAATATTAGTAGCACTTGATTCAAAGAAAACTTGCCAATCATTTGATTTGCTGTTTAACATTTTCTTTATTCATGTGTTGTGTTTTTTTTGGCACTCTGTAATTAGAATAATCTAAGTGGTCTGCTAACATGTTTCTTTTCCTTTTTGATGAATGTGTACTGGATATTTGACCTATTATTCTGTCAACTCCATACAAACACTCACACATAAGCACCACTGGCACCATTTCCCAAAGTACTCACGGCTCATGGCATTTGTAACACTTGTAGGAGACTCAGCTTATACCATACAGAAGGAATATTCAAGACCTCCTTTGTGATTCAAGTATGCATTTTTATCTATAGTTTTATTAGACATTTTAACAAATCCATAGTTGCGGAGCTGATTTTCTCTCTCTCACTTATTTCACTCTGCAATGTTAGGCATGGTTCCGTATCCAGATCCCTACCAGAGTATATACCAGCAGCGCCGTCTTGGTACACTAGGTATTGAATGGCGCCCATCTTCTGTCAAACTTGCTACTGGCTTCACTTACAACCCCAACACTGGTGATTATCAAATGCCTCTAATTCTAGACCCGGATGGATGGGTTGAGCCCCTACCAGAATTCTTAGAAGCCATCAATTGGGAACCACCAGAAAATGAAGTGCAAAGCGAAGATAATGATTCTGAATATAATGTCACTGATGAATATTCAAGTGAAGCAGAACATGAAAGTTTAAGTAGTAGTTCATCAGGGGAGCCTGAGCGCAATGCCAGTGATAGTGGGGTGCAGTGTAATAATAAGGATGGCCTTCGGAGGTCCAAAAGAAAGAAGCACAAGTCAAAAGTATGTGAATGAATAAACATGTAACATTATTTCTCTTTTATAATTTCCTTCCCTTGGTTCTAATTAAAAGTTAATTTGCCAGGCCGAGTTCATGACTTCTTCTGGGAGACGAGTGAAAAAGAGAAACTTGGATGAACATGATGGTGCTACCACATCAAGGACTCGGAGAAAACGGAGGTTAAGTAATGGACGATTGACTTCAAAGAAAAAATCATCAAAATCCAAGGCAGTGCGTCCTCAAAGACGCTCTGCAAAAAATGCTCTTAGTTTCCTGTCGAAAATAACTGGCAGTTCTGATGATGAAGAAGATGTTGACTTAGAAAGCAGCTGCTCAGAAAGTGAGTCAGATTTTCCAGATTCTAGTACTCAGAGCATTGAATCAGAAGGGTCAATGCATACCAGTGAGATTAAACGGGAAAGTTTGAACAACCTCTTGAAAGATGAGACTGAAGATGTTGTGTTACCTTCTCAATCCACGGAAGTTCAGCCAAGCACTGGAAATAGGAGGAGACTTGTACTTAAGTTGCCATGTCGTGATTCAAAAGCAATTCTTCCTTCTGAAGAAACAAGATTTGAATGCCATAGCCAGGAAGCAAAGGTGGATTCATTTTCTAAAACCCCCAATAAATGTAACCTAAAAGAAAACCATTGTGGTCCCTCTGAGCCTGCGAAGCCTTCAGTTGATGTAGGTGATGCCATCCCATATGAAGGTGTCAAGATCAGAGAAAGGGGGGCTGCTGACAATCAAGAAGAGTTCAATATCTCTGCAGGTTACAATGGGAACACCATCAGATGGGGAGAAGTCAAAGCACGCTCATCAAAACGTTTGAAATTGGGAGAAACTTCTGTAGCAGATGGATGGACTCCATCAAATCCACAGCTAGGTGGTCCTAACCTTGTTCCAATTGACGTTAATGGACATTTAAAATCTGAGGATGGATATGCAAGGTCCTCCGGTGCTGGAAATCCTGCACCCATATATAATTTAGACTTAGATGGAAATGGTGCTTTGCTTGGGTTGAATGCTGCGAGCACCGGAAAATATCTGCCTGATAATATTCTTGAGTCAACGATGTCTCAGAAGTTATCACCAAATTTTGACCGACAGCATCAGGCTGCAAATCCAGCCACATGTAATGGTAGTATAACTGAGCCTGTGTGCCCAGACATGAGACACCAAGATAGCCACGGAATCACTGAAGTTGATGGCATTTTTGAGCCTGTAAATGGTTTTAGAATTGTGCGTGAAAATAAAAATGCTTCACACTGTGCTATCCATTCTCAGAAACCTGAGAGGATGACTTTGAAGTTCAGAATCAGATCAAATGGGTCAACAAAGGAGAGAACCACTTCATCTTCCAAGTTAAAGTCGGCTGCTGTAGAAGACTTAAAGGGTCCTGAACATGATCTGATATCCAACAGTTCCCTTGCAGTTGAACACAATTCAATGCCAGCGATATGTGAAGAGGATGAGGGTACAAGTGGTCAGAATCACGACCATATTGATTGGGATGATGATGGGTCTGGGAGCCTGGACGCTTGGGCAGATGAACCAAAGTGTTCTAGAAAGCCACATTTTGGTTCTAATAACAAGATGTGTAATGTTGTCTACAAAAGGTCAAAGTCCACTAGGAGCAGAAAATTTGCTGATGGTGATAGCTATGTTATAGAAGGAAGTACATCAAATGTCAACAACCAGAGTGATGCACTTATAGACGGTGTCCGGAGAACAAGGTCTATGGGCACGAAGATGGAAATTAATGAGTGCTTACTAATTAATAATTCCGGAGAGAGAAATCGGTATAGCTCTTCAAAGACATCAAGAAATGGAAGGGGTTTAACCATTAATGGGCAGGAAAACAACCTTGCTCACGGATGGAAGCCAACTTTAAGGAGTGTTGGTCTAAGGTCTGCAAGAAGCAGGAGAGAAAATTATGATAGTAATCTGAAGCCCCTGGATAGTAGCACGTATCAACTATCAGGGAAGAAGCTTTCATGGTTAATGTTGATAGATCATGAGGAGAGCTACCGTTATATTCCACAATTAGGAGATGAAGTTGCATATTTGAGACAGGTACTGAGTTTTAGTCATTTGCTTTTTGACTGATACTGTTGGATTTACATTTATCATATAATATTGAAGACATTTCTCCCAATAAGATATTGGTTATCCTGCACACTTAGGCACGGCATGCATGCCCAGCCCTTACAAATTTGGAAAACTTTAGTTTACCTCAACGGATATGTACGAGGTTTTGTGCCCTGTCAAAAGCTAATATTTTACGAAAATAATGGCCTCGTAAAAATGTGCATACAGATACTTTTATGTGCCAAGTCAATTTGGATAGCTGTTGTTTCCGCCACCCTGTTTCTATATCATAGTACCGAACTCTTGCCCATTTTTGCTAATCGTAGTGTTTATTATAACATCAAATTTTACTTATTATATTTACTTGTTTCAGGGCCATGAAGAATATATTAAAAGTTCTCATCGTCCATGTGAAGGAGGGCCCTTGAAGATCAAAGGTCTAAATGCTGTAGAATTTTGTAAAGTCCAAAGTCTTGATTATTCAACTCTTCCTGGATCTGGAGAAAGCTGCTGCAAACTCGTTCTTGAGCTTACTGACCCTGCTTCAGATGGGTTTGGTAAAACTTTTAAGTTGACATTACCTGAACTTGTTGCTTATCCCGACTTTCTTGTGGAAAGGTCTCGATATGATGCTGCCATTGAGAGAAACTGGAGGTACCGTGATAAATGTCAGGTATGGTGGAGGAACGAGGATGGAGCTAGTGGTAGTTGGTGGCTAGGCAGGATTCAGGAGGTGAAGCCCATATCTGCTGAATTTCCTGAGAGCCCATGGGAGAGATATGTTATTCGATATAAAAGTGATCCTTCTGGAACACATCCTCATAGCCCGTGGGAACTCCATGATGCTGATTCTCTGTGGCAGCACCCTCACATTAACGAGGATGTTAGGGATAAGCTATTGTCATGCATTGCCAAGTTAGAAAGAGAATCAACAAGAAAGGTATACTTTTACTGATTTATTAGTGCTAATTCACCTATGTTTGCTTATTACTTGGTTTTTCATTGTTTTGTTGATATGTTACAGGACAAGTATGGAATTCAAAAATTGAACCAGGTTGCTCGGAAGTCTGATTTTTTGAACAGGTATCGTTTTGGTCATTCTTATGATAGCATTTATAGATCTGAAATTTGAATACTTGAGCTGTCACATGGTTTTTCATCATCTCTTTGCAGTAGATATGAAGCTACATGTTTTCTTATGATATTCTATCAGTAAATTAAACTAGGGAGAGTATTTTTAAGGTAGGCAGCTGGAGAGAAATTGTTGACTTCTTAATTTTGAAGTTACTAATGAAGAATATAATATGTGGAACACAACTTTAGCAAGCAATGAGAAGAAAATTAGGACTAAAGTCACATTGATGCTCTAGAGAATGTCTGGGAAACTGCGAGTCATCATTGTGTCAATGTAATCCTGTTAATATAGGACTAATCATTTGCCGATATCTGATCCTCAATAAACTTTATAAGATGGCTGACTAGATATGCTTATAAATAAGAACCAAATGAACATGCTTGTATTTAATGGATCATGTTGAAAATTTTATATCCTCGAAATGTGAGATGGATGAGATGATGAGTAGCAGTATGCTAAAATTTGTGTTTCTCATATTTGGCTTTTCTGATGTTTTGGATAATCAGACACTTGAGGGCAATTCTCAGACACTCCAACTACACTTTGAAGTAATTTTGCAGCTCCCTCATGCAGGATATTATCAGTTGATTGTATCAAATTAGCATAATATGAGATTATTTGTTGGACGTAGACCCAATTTCTTTAATTCTTTACTTATCAGTTATGTTGTTATTTCGTTATTTCTTG